TTGAAAGGTACAACTGTCTTTTCGAAAATCGACTTGGTTAAAGCGTATAACCAAATCCCTATGGCTACAAACGACATACCAAAAACAGCTATCATAACTCCTTTCGGACTCTATGAATTTTTGCGAATGCCGTTCGGTCTAAGAAACGCTGCGCAAACTTTCCAAAGATTCATAGACGACGTCTTTCGAGGCCTCAACTTCGTACATGCGTATGTTGATGACTGCTTAATCGCAAGTCCGGACAGAGAATCACATCTCAAGCATCTGGATCTTGTTTTCGAACGATTACAAAAACATGGCATTACTGTAAACGTTCAGAAATGCCAATTCGGAACCGACTCGTTAGATTTCCTAGGACACACTATCGATGCTCAAGGCATTCGACCCCTTAGGACCAAAGTGGCGGCCATTCTGGATTACCCAGAACCGACCAACGTCAAGCAACTACGCACGTTTAACGGCCTGGTAAGTTTCTATAGACGCTTCATACCGAAATGCGCATTACTTATGAAACCTCTTACTGACCAACTTCGTGGAAATGCGAAATCCATTAATTTGGACGACACCGCACGAAAAGCATTCTCCACAGTTAAGGAACTGATCGCTAAAGCAACAATGCTCGCACATCAGGACACTGAAGCACCCATTAGTATCGCAGTAGACGCATCCGACTCGGCAATCGGAGGAGTCTTACAACAATGGATTAACAACTCCTGGCAACCCTTGGCATTTTTTCTAGACGGTTGCTAGACACCGAATCGAGATACAGCACATTCGGTAGGGAACTCCTAGCTATGTATTGTGCTGTACGGCATTTTCAACACTATATCGAAGGCCGCGAATTCACTCTATTCACTGACCATAAACCGCTCACTTTCTCGTTAAGCTCTCCTTCTGACAAGTACTCTCCCCGTGAGTCTCGACAACTGGACTACATTTCGCAGTTTACTTCAGATATTCAACATATTTCTGGATCAAACAATGTAGTTGCAGACGCCTTGTCTCGAATAAACTCCTTGAACAGTTTCCAAGGAATCGACCTTCTTAAACTCGCCCAGCTTCAAAAAGAAGACACTGATCTTCAGCAAGAGTTATCGTCCACAACCCTTAAACTACGCATCAAACAGATGGGAACAGGTAAGGAAACCTTACTTTGTGACACATCTACAGGTAGAGATCGCCCAATCGTTCCGAAACATTATCGACGCAATGTCTTCAACACATTGCACAAACTTTCTCATCCAGGTGTTCGTGCAACCATCAAGCTCATAGCAGAACGCTTTTGCTGGCCTGGTATGAATAAAGACGTGAGGGAGTGGGCACGCTCCTGTGTAAGCTGCCAAAAATCTAAGGTCATCAGACACAATAAATGTCCCTTAGGCTCATTTAAAACTCCCGATGCTCGTTTCGACCATGTTCATCTGGATTTGGTAGGACCTTTACCAGATTCAAATGGATACTCTTACCTCTTAACCTGTGTAGACCGTTTCACTCGATGGCCAGAAGCAGTACCTATCAAGGACATCACTGCTGAAACAGTGGCCCGAACCTTCGTCGAACGATGGGTAGCAAACTTCGGTTGCCCGTCAACCATCACCACAGACCGCGGACGTCAGTTTGAGTCTGAACTTTTCCGTCGTCTGACCACACTATTAGGAAGCACTCGCTTCCGAACGACCGCCTACCACCCACAAGCAAACGGGTTGGTAGAACGCTTTCACCGACAACTAAAAGCTTCACTATCAGCTGCAAACGTTTCACAGTGGACCGACGCTCTTCCACTCGTCTTACTAGGTATCCGCAATGCAGTGAAAGCTGACATTGGATACACTGCGGCTCAACTCGTTTATGGAACGACACTTCGACTTCCAGGAGAATTCGTGGATCCTTCATCCTCTTCAATGAGCATGGATCTAACCTCCTACACGAACAGGCTTACAAACGCAATGCGTTCAGTTAAACCTGCTTCCACTCGACCTCAATCAACTGATGTTTTCATTCAACCTGAGTTACGATATAGTACACACGTTTTCGTTCGTCGAGACTCGCATCGACGACCTTTCGAATCAGCATACGAAGGACCTTTCAAAGTTCTTCAACGCGAACCGAAGTACTATATAATCGATAAGAACGGAACCAACGATAGCATCAGCATCGATCGCCTCAAAGCAGCGTATTTAGAAGGAAATCCTATCTACGTGGATTTTCCTTCGGTACAATTGAACGACACGACTCCGATACTTATAATACCTCATCCGACAACCAACACACACGATGATACTTCGACAGTATCCGAAAATAAACTTAAAACGACACGTTCTGGAAGAAGAGTAAGATTTCCAGAACATTTAAATGACTATTGCACGTAAGGCACTTCTCGACATTTTCTATATTATTAAAAAAATTTTTTTTAAAATAGGCTTATATATTTTCATTTCTATTTTAAAAAAAAAAAACAAAAAAAAAACGATTTTTTTAACGCTGTTACGTTTCATGAGTTTATTTTCCCTTTTTTTACGCACATACGAGTGTATTTTCGACATGCACTTACATTTTCTTTCTTCTTTTCCAGGACGGCTGGAAAAGAACGATGACGTTTATGAGGATACGAAACTTTCATTGTACATTTCTTTTTTTACTATGTTGTACTCCGGTCCCATATAGTAAGGAAAGACGACCAGACGCTGCTAAATTTAGTAAGCTATCAGAAGAGTGTTTACCAACGACAAACTCGTTGGGTTTAAACTTCTGGCTGGCCACGTCTTAGGGTCATCACTGCCCCACTAGGGGGGGAGTGATCTGTAGCGGTAAATAAATCCCCAAACTAAATAGCTCAATAGGTTTTCGACATTGGATGCTGACCATATGTTTTAGTGGACTCATCTAGCTGAAGGCGCTCGGTCATGCATCCGCACCAGATCACGTGCTGTCACGCTGTGCTCAACAACAATCGCAATCACTAGCCAGATTAGATCAGAGATTCCCGATATATTGGTTATTGCCAAATACACTCTTCCGATCTCCTCGACTCTGTCTTTTGATTTCTCTCGGTGGGAACAAAGCATATTAGAAGGTGTTATTGGTAGAAGCGTTGTCAAACACTGAATACCTGTATCATCCTCAATAGCCCTGCTTATATGATTAGTAATTGATGTTTGGTAGACAACTAAAAATTTGGTCAATATTACCAGTGTAAACCATACATAAAAAGGATTATTTGACGTCAATTGTAGGGAAACTATTTCGAACCAGGGGACATTAATGTTTCTATGTTTGTCAACAATATTTGACAAACTTCATTAAAAGTGCATAAAGCATATGTGTTAATGTAGGCGTAACCTCTAAAGATCTCAGTCAGTTCTCTTACCCGGGTCTCAGAGTGAAAATATAGAGATTATTAATCAATTACAAAGCAGGGAATCAGATCAAATACTTCCCTACTTTCGAAAGGGGTTCGGAAATGCCAGGACGCGTTCAGATAGTGGAGCTTTAAAATGTTGAACTGTCTGTCTCATCTCACGATAATGGAATGAGTCAAACTAACATACGCAAAGAATCTTACCTCGTCCTAAGAAGTAATTTAACATAGCCTCATCATATTTCGAACAACGATGTGGTGGGTAACTCATTTTATTTATTTCTAATGCTTAGGAGATATGATGAAGAAGTATATTCACATGAAGTTGAAGAAAGTATCTTGTCGTTACCTTACGAGTCTCATTACCTCTACAAAGTTATGAACTACTGGAATCCTTCACAAGAATATACAATGACAATACACGTTGACGCGCAGAAACATTAATTAGGTCTTCGTAGTACCCTAAATCGTTGAGATCAACATAGGTATTCTTGCCTTCTACCCACAACACAGGAGACTGTAACTAGCATTTAATCATGTATCCTTATGTAAACATCTGCGATATAAGTCATTCTTCCATTTATTTAGGGGGTAAGTAACGTACGTCGATGAAATGTTAATGAACCTTCAAATTAATATATCTTATTACAAGTTTGTTTATTTCGCATTCGATCATGTGTACACTAAGCATAATGTATATCACGGTCGGTAAAGATGCGTTTTGTACCTAAAAAACACAGTGACGAAGGGCTCGAAGATTTTTAGTCACTTCTATCCAACATTTGACTGAGCATAGACAAATATAATCGAATTCGGGAAATAATTTGAAGAACTATGGGGATAGTACGAGAGAAAAAGATAATCAAATACCTAATTGTGTGCTAAACATCTTAAGAGGTAGAAAATAATGGGAGTGAAGATGATGAAAATCGTTCAATGAAAATTGATGATTGAATTAAATTTATATGTTTATCAATGAAAAATAAATGCGTGAATTTATGTGATAATTCATTTTCCATTTTCTGCATCACTCCTCACCGTCACTATCTCTTGCATCATATCTGGCCGAGGACAATATCCAAATTTTATACGAAATGATAACCCCTTCTGATATCATTCAACATATGCTCACTAATGACTGGCTTCAAGAGATATTTCCTGGAGTTCTAGTAAAATGCAGCGATCATTGTAGTTCAACCGGGTCTGTTGTCAGATAAAAACGCACTGAAGACAATGGTGGATGTGTAACTCGATTTCATGCATTGATTGAAGTTAAACAGTGACACCGTTAGATACCGGCTCAGTGTTTTAGAAGTTGTGCGTTCGTGTGCAAGACCTATAGGTACTGGGCTCGAATGTCGCGATGTGGGATCGTGCATGCGCGCTGCTGAGGAGCCCCACAATAGGACGAAACAACCGTTCCGTATTTCCAGGTTTTTCAACGCGGCCTAGATTCACTTGACTGGTGATCACAACTATTAAAGCCAAAACCGTGAAAGGCTTATAGCTGAAAACTGGTAAAACCAAATATCATTGATTAAGCCCCAAAAACGAAAATTTAAGGTAAAAGTAAAACAGAAACCGTAGTTATTTGCAAAAACGAAACATCTGATAACTGCCAACCACCTTGTTAACATGTTCAATGTTTGTTTGTCTACATAATCAACAACGAAGTAAAGTCCTATGCAGCAGGGGCTTTTTTGACTTATTTTTCAAGGTAGGGTTTTTTGTTTCTCTTTGCTATATTTAAACTCAGCTTGGAACATCATCGTATTTCATTTGGGTCCTCAACTCAAACTATTTTTTATCTTGTTCATAAAACCAACTTACTTTAGACTTGCATAAAGTGAATAGATAAGCATGTCTTTACATGGTTAGTTAATTTGAAAGTATCGAGATATTTATGTAGTTTTCTACAACAAATACTTACAAATCTGGTTGCATGGTTTTTCAGGAGACCGATTCTTCAAGATTTAAGCAATGTAGAATTTATCTCTTATAGGATGCATGTATGATAGGCAGAAAATGAACAACCCCAACAAACAACACTTGAGACTTAAAACTTTAGTGACTGTTTTCCCATAAGTTTTGACTCGATCAGGCGGGACTTTACGCGAAGCTTTTAGAGTCTTTGCTCTTCATTTTCATGGCGTCATGCTATTGTAAGTAATGCTCATCTATATCTTTCAGTGCAATGATAGTTACCCCTGAACCTAGTTATATTTGATATTTAGTTGCAAAAGAAGCTGCAACCAACTCACTGATCCTTTTAGGCTGATGGATTTGCTGGCCACTGAAGCGTAAGGAATATTAGCGTAAACAAGGGAATAATCAAAGTTGAGATAGATAGCTTAAAAGGAACAGCAGTCTTGTATACAACCACACCAGTGGCAGCTGATCGCGATGTGATCATTCTGAGTCCAGTCTTGAAATGTAGAGCGAGAACGCCAGATGGCACATTGGCGATGACTGCCGGTAGTTAGTGCTAGCCAAAAACAGGTTGTGGTCTGCGCACAGTTGCAGTAGACGTTAACCGTTATCTGACCTGCAACCAATAAGTCCCTATCGACTACTCAAATGACTCTCCTGTGTCTAGACGCCCGACCTGAGCATTCAAGTCTCCGACTAGTACTACAATATCTGCCGAATGCACTTTCTGGAGAAGGACAGTTAACTGGTGGTAGAATTCATACTTGATTGCATCCGGGCTGCAATCTGTCGGGACATAGGCGGAGATGACGAAAAGACATCGTTTCTCACGCCGATTTCTCACTTCGGTTGGTTTTTCTAATCTAATAGCACATAGCCGCCTGTTAATGGGGATCCAGTCGATCAGTACTGCCTCTGCTCTAGCGCCAGCAAAACCAGAGGGAGTTGCCATGGGGTACCCGGATAAACGCATGTAAAACAATCTTTTCGAAGCGACAGACAAAGTGAATTTATAGTATTTCACTAGTTCTGAATACGGGTCTCGGACAGACAACAGACATCGATATTAGGACTTTCTAAAGACATAGCCAACCCTATCTGTTGTCCGATATGCATTATTGTGTGAACGGTGAAGGCAGCCAGTTTGGATGGTGCACGTGGTTTCAGAAAAACTGTTTCAGTATACGTTTTTGGTGGTGGCATTCAACTTCCGACTAGTCAGTAACTTGCGACCGTTTCTTAGGGGGCTACACTCGAAGCCTTCGACCTAAAGGTCTGATCCACAAGGCAGCGGATAAATGTTAGGAGATGCAGCCCCATGGTAGCCGGTAACCAGCAATTGGTTCATATGCCATTTGTTCCTTCAGGATACTGGAGCCCATGTGCACTATTGGTTTGGAATCAGAGTTTTCCAACTATTCTAGGTGGACCCTCCGTATCCACCAGCCCGATTAAAGCGCCGTACATTCGCTTTTTGTCCTCTCGATCTCTTAAAGAACACCCCAGTAAAAGAGGGCAGTGAGTAGGACTTTCGTGGGAGCGGCTATATACATGTGGCTATATGAGAGCATTTCGAGAGAGAGAGCGAACTCTACTTTCGACCGTACCAGGGTATTTGGGGGCATTAGAATATAAGCTCACCTATTAACGATGAATCGGATAGATTACTTGGGTAAAAATGGTCTATTTTACGGAAACTAAATGAGTTACTCACATCTGTCATAACTTGTACTGTTCAATAACCTTGAGTCATCACTCTTGAGTATCTTTCCTTCTGGCTTAGTCTGTCCGCTAGTTTCGAGTAACTGTAAGCTCCATCTTAAAAATTAGGTTCAATACTGACTCCATATATGGGAAGCTAAGATGAAATCTTTAATAACAAATAGAAAATTGGTAGGAAGCAGAAAGAAAAAGTGCTTATATTGAATAGGCTCCACCTGAATACTCTTAAAATTATGGCAGTGATTAATGCTTCCTGACTTCTCCAGATAAAAGAATCCATTTTCTTTGAGAGTTATCTAATGAATCGACGGTCTGGTTCATCTGAGACAGTGTCTACCAAACATAGGTGGTAAATCTATAGAATCTACTTCTTGATTTATTTACTGCCTTCACCCCGTTGTGTAAGTGTACTTGACTTTGATTATGACTAAGAATCATTTTACAGAAGTACCCGATGGGTGTATATTTAGCTCCATAATCTTCTAAAGAATCATTTTAACTCATTGGTGGTAATTAAGGTAAGACTCAATCATTTTTGTGAGTCCAATAATTACAACACAGTGATAACTTCTTGGAATGTTTTTAATAAAGCGTCAACACTCTTGATAAAGGATAAAACCCATTTTAACCTGACTCGAGTTGTTACTTAGCAACATCATCAATGTGTACAATGCTTTTTAACAAAGGGAATCAGTCAGTCATCTACAACTTAGGACCAGGCACATATAGGCATCTGTCCAAGTTGCTACAACTCATTGGCACAATATGAACACCAAATTCATAAAAGCAGTTACTTCAATTATAGTAGTATGTATGAAATAAGATTGCATATAAGAATATGATACAGAGGGAAAGTTAGTTATTTTAATTTCACAGTTTAAAGGAAGACAAAGTGTATTCACGTACGCCATTGTGGTTGATTGTGAGCCATGTCAAGGAAATAGTGACAATGTATCACTTGAATCCGGCGTTATTTTCAGTATAGCTTTGTTTTGTCACATGCTTAAATATAAAGTTTTACCGTTTTATTTTGTATTATATTTCTGTTTGGATTTTAAAAGCTTAGTTTCAATATCTACTCAGTTTAAAATATATTGACAAGTTGTGTTTATTATCCCAAGTTTATTGAGTTCGTTAAAAGGTTTTCAACTAAGTCAGCTTAATGTTTTTTTATTTCCTTAGTGCACTTCAATGAGTTGGCATCAGCCTGGTCTTGATGTCAGTGCGGCTCCTTTACATCAACTTACACCTCATGGTCTATTATCAAATGAATATCTTTCTGGGTTTGATCAGAGTTCTGGTGGTATGGATTCGGAAAATGCACTCTTGACGGAGCAGCGTGCACAGTTGACAGGAAGAGAACTTCAACAACTTCTTAGTGTTGCTCATCAAAGTTTAGATGAAGCTCAGGAAAGGTATCTAAGCTCATTTCAAGAATCATTTTTTAACTCTTAATTATAATGTTGCAACAGCTTCAGTTATAGGATCACTCACTTTGAGTTACTACGAAAAAATTCCTCACGTTCAGTAGTACTTTATATCTACCGTAGTTTAATATTTTTGATGCTACTATAATATTATGTAAAACATAACGAGATGTTTGGTGCTTTAATTTGACGTCACCGCCTTATTTATGTTCATCACTACCTACATATAGCTCTCCGGACTGTAGAATAACTTACATTGTTTTTACTCCAATCAGTTAGTCTATACTTATTAACATTGTAAAGTTCAGTTGTTAGCGACTTCATGAACTGATGGTATGTTTTGGTTTGGTTGCCCCTAGCTTTCTTCCAGCCCACTCTTACACTAGCAAACATCTCCCATCAAGGTAGGTGGTGGTTGGGCATACATAACACATATCCCAACCACCTCAGTTGATGAAGGTTTACTACCTCACCAATCTGTATCCCATCATTACCTAGTACTCTATTCCTAACCCAGGGATCACTTGCTCCGTTTCCTCAAAACTTTAGCAATTCTTCGTAAACACATGTGATCAAATACCAGTAACCTACGAAAATCCTCTATTCTTAATGGTCATTTTTCGCACCCATAAAGTGGGACAGAGGGACTTACCGCGCAGTAAACTCGTCCTTTGATTGGCAGACGGATATCTCATTTACACCACAAGTGGCGCAATTTGGCAAAAGCCAGTAGGGGCCTTTGAATCTGTACCAGGATTTCGTCAGACACCAGCCCGTCGGGACTGATAAGACTCCCAAAACAAGTGAAGTAATCGACGCACTCAACTACTCCATTCCCTACCATTAATTCAGGTGGTAAAGCAAGTCAGTTCCGAAGTAATATTTTACATTCGAAGTGAGAGAACCACATTCCAAACATGCTTGCATTGTTGCTTGAGTTAGTCAGAATGCTTTGTATTTTGTGAGCTTCATAATAAAAAGGAGTAATATATTCACGAAGTAGTTATGTTTAAACCAAACTAAGTGGCGTTGCAACTTTTGCCCGGCAATTATTACGTGATATGATTGCTAATCAGAACATGACTTATACAATCTTAGCACTGTGCCAAACCAATGACGCGTTGATCGGTACGAGGGGCCTAGAGTCCTTATTGGTCCTTCTCATCTAGCCCTGCCTGTTCAGTCCAGAGCACCAATTTCAGCCTCAATTTTTAGAATCATATATTTCAAAAATACTTGGTATATATACAAGCAAACCAGACCACATCATACCATAAAATAAAAAATAACAGTCGTACAAGAAGACCAAGCCCAAAAGTGGCCGTGATTGTGAAAGACTAACTGATAAATTGGAGATAACTTAAGAATAGTAGATCATATAATAGTATTCAATAGGTTAAATGGAAGCTTATAATAAAAGGAATATGAATAGACATCTAATATTAGTCCATAAATAATTCCTAGACGTTGCCATTCATTTATTCTTCTTTGGGATATAACAAGTGGATTAAATGATTCTTTAACAGCTTAAATCATTGAAATACTGTTTCATATTTTAATTAAACGTTATTTCCGAAGAAAATGCTCTCTACATTTATCTAAAGTTATTAGTGAAACTCCTTGATAAGTACAGTTTTGTGCAATGCCCGTAAGGCTACTAAATCAATGTGATAACTATGTTTACTCTCTATTTAGCAGAATTCTTTGTATCCGTTAGCAATATAATGTACATTATATTGTTGTATAAGTAGTAGGTGAAATCATTTCTCAACATCGGTTATGCTTCTTTGGATATGTTTCTTTGACTTTAAGTGTGTCTATGCTAATTAGTACTAGATGACATTACAACTGTCTGGAACTAGCATTAGAATAATAGGGTTATTGTGTTGAGTCACAATAAAGGTAACTTTGGCGCAATAAAGCATATGTTTCTTAAATGAAGTTGTTGAAATTAGAGTGTTGTTTTGTTCTGTCTTCTACACGAATAGCAAAATAATATAAAACCTAATAGTGACCAATTTAAGCCTCTATGTAATTATTTAGTTCATTTGTAACTCAAGATTTTACTCACTTGCAAGTATATTTTTCCTTAATGTTATTCTTTGTTTTTGACACAGTTCTCTCGTCATCCCATTCACAATATTCATTGGTTGTTTGTATTTTTCATCTTTGTTTTGTTGATTTATAGAAAACAGTCATTAAATAGTCATAGATTAAAGCCTGCTCTATACAGTGTGTTCTGTGAAATCAAGGAAAAAACAGGTAGGTTTGCACATAGTTATTATTATGTAGTTGCAGAATATTTTTTCACGAAATTTCGTATATTTAAAACTGTTAGTCCTTATGAGAAAATTCGATAATACACTGCGAGGACGTTTATCAAAACTGTATATACGGCTCTAGTATAGCAAATAGTACTTGTAGCTTTGTGCCCTAATAATACCGCCAATTAGAGAACAGTGACTTATCGACCGGACTAATGACGCATAAACCCGTACGAGCAGTCTAGAGTCCTTGTCGGTCCTTCTGCCTGTTGCATCCAGAACAGCAATCTCAGCCTCTGCAATATGAACTATATACTTCAAACATACTAGGTTTGTATCCAAGCCAAACAGAGCATATCGTACCATAAAATAGAAAATAACCTTTGTACAAGATCTAGCCAAAAGTGGCTGTGAATGTGGGAGACTGTAATTAATAGACTAGACATAACTCAAGAATCGTATAATGATAGTCTATGGGTCAAAATAAGGCTTTTAATAAGAGGAATATGAATATGCATAGTTTAGTTGCTTGATAATCATACAACAAAAATTTATGTATCGTATTGGTCCATAAATAGTTCTCAAGAGTTACCGTTCATTATTCTCGACGGGATATAACAGTATTGATAAAATCCGGAAGTGGATTTTCGGGTAAACACACGCAAGTTCAGTATCGAGTTGCTACGCAGCAATAATCATTAGTTGAATATCAAGCACTTTTAAAATAAAGAATATTATGCATATTCAGTCATCTGACCACTGGTCATCGAGTATTGATAAACTATACAAATCAAACAGGAAGTCATGTTATACGATATACCAGCATTGTATTTTAAATGGCCAACTAATTAAACATCATTTCTTAAATTTGCACTATTTTGTCACTTTAGGAAAATACTATCCTCATCAGATATAGAATTAAAACGAACTAAGTTAAATCTCTTTTGAACAGAATCTTTTACTATGTCGTTTTACATAAGAGACAAAAGTAGCAGCTTATAGTTTTAATGTCACAACCTTTTTGTATTGTTTACTTCTCGCAATGATGTTTAGCTCTAAGTTTGAGAAACTCAGCTGTTTCTGCTGTAGAAGATGAAGCTAATTCACCAGATCCTCAGCTTTTACGCTTGGATAAAATGTTAGTTGCTGAAGGTGTAACAGGACCTGGCGGTAGTCTGAATAATGATCTAAGTGACGGTCCTGGAGACTTGGGTGGGGGACCCGGCGATTGCAATCAAATTGAACATGCTGATTATCGCGCCAAATTGTCTCAGATTCGCCAGATATATCATGCAGAATTGGAGAAATATAAAAATGTAAGTTCTTTCAGTACCGCTATCTTTATAAGATTATCAATTGCATTATCCTGCTTAAACTAATGACCAACCAAAAATAATTATGTTTATTATATAAGGTTTCCCTCATATTTGTTCTATTTTCTGATAAATAGTCGTATTAAACGTAAGTGAAGCTTTTTCTGATGTTTCACTAAGTACTAACTGTAGGCACTATCGATTTTCCCCCAAACTATCCCCAACGTGGTTCTTCATACACATAAGTAAGGACTAGGAAAATACAATAATTAAAGAGCTCATCTTAGACCTAGACATAAGATTCTACCTTAACACTCCACTCCGTTTAATTAGATAAGTGTAAATATATCTTACTTTCTGTACAAACCTGATAAGCTGTTGCCGTACTTCGCAACAATTAAGCGTAAACATTTAAAATCAACTTGGTAGTGATCGATCCTTGTAAAAGATCGTAGTTGTCTGCTTATGTTGTGACACCAAGTACATGTTAAATCTCATTAAACACCCTACAATTATTATTCTCACTCTAAGTTTTAAATCTCCGAAAAATTCCCATCATATCAAATCTCTGTTATCTGACATTGAAATCTGTTAGTTTTGAACGTAAAATAATACCTAAAGGTCAGATAGTAATGTTGATATCATATTAAAGTTATCCAGTTTTAAGATTTAAAAAACCTTATTTTGGATCACACTCTGTACTGGAACCAAACTATTATACATTATGTCCGTATTCAATAACTACTCTAATCGTCCTTCCAGTGTTTTATTGATTGTGTTCATTCTAACCAGTGTTCATGTTGACTAAAGGCGATGGTAAATGACTTAAAGTAGCTCATATTTCTCCAGGTTAAATGTTGATTCTATAAAAAATAATTACGCCTTATATACTTTTTTTCATGCCGTTCTCTAACCTACACGAGTATTTATCCTAATTAGCAAATGATTCGTCAAATAGTTGCACTTCAATTTCAACTAGGATTTCAAAGATACAATTAGAGAAGAAATATGATTTTCGATATTTGTTCATAATTTGTATAGACAAGGCCATGCCAATTTATCTAGGTGTTTGTGTAATCTGAACTTATTAGGTATTTCCTGGTAATACTAAATCCACTCTGTAGTTTAAGTCGTTCTCTGTAGGTTAGTAAAGATTGATGATTTTTTTCCTAAAATTAGATCTGATCTCTTTAGAAGGCTTATGGGCTCTAAAACGTTTGAAGGTCTTGTGTACTAACAACTCTAATGTCACTGGTATGGAATAAAACGGCTGCCTAGTGTACTTCATTTTTGTTCCTTGTGCAACTAGCGTAGAATTTTAATGAAAAGCATTTTTCAAATAATCTAGGTATTTCAATCTATGAATGAATTTTAATCTTGTCTAGCGAAATAACAATAACTTGGTGAATTGTTTCCATATTTTTACTTTGAAATGAAATGACCTATACTTAGTATGAACTCAATTTTTCCACTTTGAGTCATGCTCCTTTATTCATTTATAACTTTGGATTGAATATGATTTACAATGAAATCAGTTATTCAAAAGCTTTGCAACACTAAGGGTACATTAATAAATCATTAGACAATAGAGACACAACTCATTCTCTCTAACAATTTTATAATGTATTCTGCTTTGCATAAAACTTTTGTTTAGTCTTTTCCATTTTGTTGTTATCTTTGCTGTTAGGCGTGTGACGAATTCACAGGACATGTTATAAATTTATTGCGTGAACAGAGTCGTAGTCGACCTATAAGCCCAGCAGAAATTGAACTTATGGTTGGTATAATTCGAAGGAAGTTTCGAGCAATTGAAACACAGCTGAAACAAAGTACTTGTGAAGCAGTTATGATATTGCGATCGCGATTTTTGGACGCTAGGTAAGTTCATGGATGAATAATAGGATCTGATATGTTTCTAATGAATGTTTAAAAAAATAATTAAGAGCGTTCATAACTCCTATTATTTCGATTGAAAATCCTGGTAGGTGGCTTATGCTTCACGAAGGAGTAACAGTCGTACGTAAGTGTTCTTAGGTGCGGTTCATTGTTCCTTTTAAATAAGCGCTTATTGTACTAGAAACTTAAAATACTGAGCATCAGTAAACTTTTGGGCTAGTGCAATGAAAAGATGGGACTTTTTAGATTGTATGAATTAAAATAGTGAGTGGTTTGTTTAGAAATCCATGATTTTTTGGTATCTTTATTTATTGGTTAAGTTAGTCTTAGTATCTGGTTTCGTCATAAAGTAATTTTGATTGATTTCCCGCTCTTCAGAGAAATTAGTTTCCAATAGTTGGTTTTCAAATTAGACCGCTTCTTTCCGTTTCCTTGTGTCAGGAGTTACTTAATGATGGATTTAATTAGATGTTTCTGTGCCTAGTTGTGTTCTCTTAAAGGCTTCTAGATTGCCGAGCGATAGTATAGTGACTAAAATACTTGACTTTCAATTATTAGGTTACTCATTCGAATCCTTCTTCGTCTACTTCGGCTTCTACAACCGGTTAGCGTCAATAAAAGTTCATACAAATATTTTAACTCAAAGCCAGGTACATTATCGAAATTTATCAAAGGGACTAATTGTTTTAAACATAAACACGTGTTTGGTAAGTTATAAGAAAATATATAAACAACTTGGGTGGCTTACCGTTGTTAGGGTATTTCAATTATTATCCCAATCAAAACTACTCAACAATTTTGTGTGATTTACCTTGTTCACTCTCTCTATTGTAAAGAAAGGATGAACAGTTCATATTACTTTGATATGATTAGTAAATTGTAGGAACTTAGATAATGTATATGCGCCTGTCAAATCCTGGAGTAACTAAAACATTTTGAATATCAAATATAAAACTGTTTTGTAGACTTGTTTATTATGAAAGATAGTTTAAAGGTATCAAAGCAGTATCAATAAATCACTGGTGTTTCCAAATATACCAAATTTCGCTTGAGAATCTATCGTATCGAGGACCTTCATCGCTCTGTGGTTCACTGAAGCTTTAAGATCAAAACATTTTAAACACGTACCGTAATATTAATTGGCATTCAATCATGCTCCAGAAACAACATAGAAATCTTCCATTTCAACTAAACAACTGCTTGTTTCAGCCGTATACTTTCTTTGTTGTTTGATCAATGACTATATTACGATGATGTGACTACAAAACTGATTATTCTGTTGAATATCCTTCCTTTTTAGACGCAAACGTCGAAATTTCAGTAAAGAAGCTACTGAAGTACTGAATGAATATTTCTACTCTCATTTGGCTAATCCATATCCTTCAGAAGAAGCGAAAGAAGAATTAGCCAAAAAATGTGGGATAACTGTTTCACAAGTCAGTTTTCTGAAAATAATTCGCACATTTAACTCTTACAGTTTTCATTATAATATAATATTTTGGTAACATAAAATATCCTAATGGGGACCTGTTTCACAATTACCTTCTTAATGCCATAAGTTATCCATCATTATTTGAGAAATGAATTGCTACGTGATGTTTATGTGTAAATGACCCAGGATTCAAAATCTGAAGATAATATTTTCCCGAAACTTGATGAATTTATAGCGTTTTTACTAATCAGTGTTGATGACCTTTATATTTGTCATAATTATAACGTTTCAATCTACATGATTATCACAAAATAATAAAAACCAACTGCTTACATTATTCATGACTTGAGTTTTCGTATTGCTATATCTATTCATTTAGTCTTAATTCTTATCGGTAATGCTTAAAATGTCAGTGGACATGATAGCTTTTATAAAGTTATTCCTACATATCCCAAATCTGTTCTGAAATAACATTATTACGAAAAACTTGTAGTTCATACTTTTGAATTATGATTTGGTGGTTGAAAAAGCAAGTGACTTTCACTCAATAGGTATCAGATTCGGACTCAGTTCAACCCATTTCGGTTTAGACAGCTATGTAGTATCATTAATTTTCACACAAACAGTTTATTTCAAAGCCAAGTACATTATCCTGTACATCTTAAATAATTTACTTTACAATACTTTTACACTTCAAACATTATTCACAATTTTCGTTAGACTTCATCTTTCAAGGTAGAAAGTGAAGTCAGTTGTCATTGTATTTAACTAACGTGTATTGTCTGGGTTTTTGTTATCAGCACAAACCCTTGACTTTAATCTCTAAAACAAGTGTACATTTTGCTTGGGACATGCACATTTCAGATGTTTAGATGTTGTTCCAGAGATTAATTAACCGTTTAGTTACTAGGGTTTTTTTTAATGACTGTAACGAGTGTAAATCGATAGACTAGGAAAGTGAACATTGACTGACTGTTTTACTCTCGTTAAATAGTTAGACGTGTTATTTTCATTGATTGAGTTTAAGTTGTATATGTGTAGGAACTACGGTTTGTTATCCTCTTCCTCCTCTTTTATGGGACGGTTATAGTCAAAATTGTTCGTAATCATGTTCTTAATACTTCTAAATTCACTTTTCTAAATAGTCATAACTGTAAATTCGATTCCGTTATTGGCTCATATTTTCATTGTTACCACCTTTTCGCTTAATCTGACTAGTCGATAAATAATAGTTATGTTAAAGTATGATAATTTTTGCATTTTTAAAAATAACACAATTTATGAATTATATCCTTCGTTAATTACATCATGCTACTTAATTACTGTCAATTCTAAGAAATGAATTTGAACAAGTTATTTAAAATTCTGATCTATCTGTTAAAGTTGTATTCGCACAAAGTTACACTGGTGTAGGTTAACCTATAACTCCTTCTTATATTTATATTATTAGTAACATCATTAGAACTCTAAAATTCTCAATTGTTAGTTCAATTTGCTTTTGCTGTTCCGAGTTGATTAATATGATATGTCATACTTGAATTTTTCCATTTCAATTGCTATTTTGGTGATAATTATAACAAAAACTGATCTAGTATAAAAATCCATTTGTTAAAATAACAGTTATGAATTCAATTGGACCGTTTTTCATTCCATAGGTCTCTAATTGGTTTGGAAACAAACGTATTCGGTACAAGAAGAACATTGTAAAGGCTCAAGAGGAAGCAAATATGTATGCTGCGGCAACAGCCGCGGCAGCAGCAGCTGCTGGATCTGTGGCATCTGGAACTGGTGGTCCAACATCATCTGATGAAGTTAGCACTTGTTTTTAGTATTTTTGTAATAATTCATTATATCCAACTGTTACTTTCCTATTTAGAAATTTCGAATAAATCTTCATGGGATTTCCACTTCAAAGCTACGTACTACCATATAATACTTCCAAAGTTAAGGGACTTTCAAAGTAGCTATAATACCTTTATCCCACTGTTTTAGTCAGTGAGTAAACTGATGGTTCAAGTTAGGAAGTCATTGTTTCGAAAATTATGGAACTGAAATGATAACAAGGTTTTCGGGTTATTTATAAATTCTTCAAGGCCGGTGTCATTTTTTAACTGGAAAATATTACTTAGAGGAACTCGTCCATATGGGGGCACATTAGTTTTCTTGTGAATCATCTATATCACCATCAATAGTTTTTACATGAAACCTTAGAGTTTTATCTGTATGTACATTAATTGATGAGCGCAGTGGTACAAGTGAACCGTGATTTCGACGATCGCATTCACGTCTGTGCAAACGAATGTATGCCAAAAGGTGGCCATCATTACATTAATCATTAAATTTTCCTGGTTATTAATTACAAAGGGACCCCAGGAGATATAGTCCTTATTTCCTCAAATGACCAACAAAATGTTCATAAGAACTAGTGTACGTCTCGCTTATTTTTCATTGATACGGTATGATTCCTCTTTCATAGTCACACAAAGGACTCTTTCTCATACAATACCTCTCTAAATTACTCATTAGGCATTTGGATGTTTCATGGATTTTTACACTAAAACCTAGATATGACTGTTTCGAACCTAGAATAATTTGTTAGTATAACATATTGTTGATTTCAAAGCATTTTGCAGGAAGATATGAGTGTGTGTTTAGTTGTTAATAATCCGTCTTCTAATATCTTAAGTGTAGGTCAGATTTTTTAATCATAAGCAGCCTGAATGCTGTAGTTTCTCAACTTTAAAATTAATGTTTATATATTGCGGTAAATAAATGAGTTGGACGTTTTAAACCCGATTATTCACTTAGAATTAGTTAGATCTTAATTTCTTTTTTACACGGTGATTTATATCTTATCCATGTCTCATTACTTTTGTTTATGTCTTTATTAGCATTCTGTTGGATATGGTCATCCCGGTTATGAATACGATGATTCTATGAGCCTTCAAAGACCTGTCCCTCAAATGTCCTGTCCACCTGATCATGACACTTGGATGGGTGGGGGAGGAGCTGGAGTTCTCGGACCGGGTAGTTTAGATGAACCTGACTGCAAACGCAGTAAACTTTGAGTACCTCTATCCATATGAGACGAGCTGTTCAAATAACTTCATTCACTACATTTTACAGCTGACGAATTCGCCTTGAAGTAGCTTATTTGATAAGTATATATATATATATATATATATATATATATATATATATATATATATATATATATATATATATATATATATGCATTCTCTTCATCTGTTGGTTTATGTTCCATATTTCGTTAGTTCTATATTCCTTTAAAACATGTATTTTGTAGAGGAAATAATACCGGGGTTTACGCAGTAATCCCATGCAATATATACAAGTGACTATGTGTATTGTTATAGGCTGAATTGTCTCGGCTTTTTCTTACCTTTTGTTCTATTCTTTTTTCCCCGTATTTTATTCTTTAGTATATTTATTTATTAATGTTCGTAAGTTCTCAATGGTTAAGGCCTGTATCGTTTTCGTGGTCCTGTCTTTATAATACAAATATCATGTTAATTGTATTCCCTTTTTCTCTATGATGATCAAAATGAGTTCGATTTTTTTGGACATTTCACTTGAAACATTAAAGCCCTAATAATACTATCTTAATTGATGTTGTCTCTGTTGTCGTTTTTTCGTCACTTATCTTTTACCCTCTGGAGGGGATGTGAAAGTGCATCGACTTCCCATTTATACTTTCGTATTACTTATCTTTTATGTCTTGTGTTTTTATTCTCTTATGGTTTAAACGGTTAATTTCTTGTCTTGAGAATTTCGCTTCATTTATTTGCTAACTATTCTCTCCTATACACTTACATTCTTTTATACTACTTTTTTTTTCATTCTGTAAGATGTGGGTGTGTATCTTTTAGGACTGTGTCGTAAGACGATTTTTTCTCTTTCAATTTATTTCATTTCAATAAAACAAATCGTATTACTTTCTCAGTATTGTTAATATTTTAAATAATGGTGATTCACTAACTAACTAGTCAGCTCTAACTTTGAACTCCACTCATCTACTACGGTTTATATGTCCAATTAGTTTTAATCGCCTTCACAAACAGTTTATCATAAAAGGCAAGTATTGAAACTCAATCAAATCACATCATAATCTTAATTAACAGTTAAGATGTATAAAATAATTAAAATTTCATCGACAATTGATATAAATTGGCCAGCATCTACATACTTCATTTTATTATAAAAACTAAGTCGTTTTAAGCAATGTGAACACTATTTTCAGGTCGTTGAGTTTCTGTGGTATTTAATGTCTTGATATGTGGTTCTGTGCGACTTTTATTCCAGTTTGATGAGTATAATCCCGTTATTGATGTGTCTTTTCCCAGCCCGAAAAGCGATTACCACTAGGGACTTTACTCAAGCCAATTATTTGTTAATTTCTTCCATATTCTTACCTCATAACAGTGATGTTAATGTTATCATACGAGAAATACTTTACAATAAGTAAATATATCCACTTAGTGCAAGAACAGATATGAAAAATCATTACTTTTATTATTTATTTAATTTTATCTATACTAATGATGGGGGTTTGCACAAGCGTAGACTTTCAGTTTAGCCTTGTGTGTAATTGTCGCATACATATTAACTTTTGGTAAACTTGTCAATATACGAGCTGTAGCAACAACGAAGAAAGAAACAACTTAATTGTGGAAACAGTCTAACAATTAATGTAGAGTTAACTGTTAAAATATCAGCAAAGGTTATTAAACCAGTAGCTAGATTTAAGTTAGTTTTGCTAAACAATTAGTATCTGACTGAGTTGGGAATATTAAGAAAACAAAGTAGCTTGCTGAGTGGTAGACCACTAAGATCTTATTATCAATGATATTCAGAAATCTTATGTGTCAGGAAAATGATGCAGGCTTTAACAAACTCAAGAGTTGTTAAACTAATGTGGATTGTGTCCCTTTGTCAAGGAGCTCCGACAGAGCATCTATAATGCGTAATCAGTTGGTCAGAAAGATCGTTTTGAATGTCTTGCTTTCCAAACACAGAAGTATTTAGTGGAATGAAATGAATCGGAGAAATAGGATGTTTTATTTCCATAAACAGAGTACTGTGACGAAATGTATTTAAAACATTTTTGCAAATTAAAGCTAATTCTATTTTATGTATTCTCGTTATTCAAAACAGTAAACACTGAAATTGTCCATCAACAGGATCGTGTTATCTACAGGTTGCATGGATAATATATAATAACGGTAGTTAGCCATTTATTTCAGCTCAGCTATATAACTGGGACAATCTTAATTAATTGGGTTGGATACCAATATGTAGTGAAATTCACGTTAATTTTGTATCTATCCTGGCTTAATGATATTTCTCATTCATCATTACACTAGCTTCTCGTGTCTTTCCACCATTTTTCAAATTCATTATATTATGACTTAATGTCCGGCTTTTATCTCGTGATTTATCCACCAATCAAAATACGACTTATATAATCTTCGCACTGTGCCAAACTAATGACGTTCGACCGGTATGGGCAGTCTACCGTCCTTATTGGTCCCATGTCGGCCTAGCGCGTCCACTTGAGTCCAGAACACCAAATATCAGTTTCCAATACGCGAATTGAATCATTTATTTCAGGCATACTGGGTTTATATATCAATCAAACAGATCGCAATGCGCCATAAAATAGGAAATAACATTTGTACACAATAAAGCCAAAATGTGACTGTGAACGTGGGAGGTAGTAGTCGATAAACCAAACATAGCTTAAGAACCGTAAATCGTACAATAATAAATTATAGGTCAAATAAAGCTTATAATAAGAGGAATATAAATATGCATAATCTAAATATTGAATAGTTATACCATAAGAATGTATAGATAATATTAGTCAATTAAGATGTCTCAGAAGTTACTCGGGATTTAATCTTCGCTCAGATATAACACTTTACCTAACAATTACGTTTTATTTCTACTACTCAATCATTCTTGGTATTCTGTTTGTCATGTGATGACAGTTATTGAATTTATTCAGCATTCTCTTACAACTTGATCGGTCGATGTCCACAAAATTGTTTTTATACCATACCAATTTATTCATACAATTGCATTATATTTTCTGGTGGTATGTGGTTAGCTAATTCTTTATTTTAGTTTGTGAGCAGATTTCTATTACTTAGTGGTTTATGGTGAAGGAATATTTTCTTTTCAATACTGTTAGCATTTCCCTGTCATTTCAATGAAAGGACCTTTTGATCACTGAAAAATTCGAATCGTATTAAAACAATTATATGGATGAAGAATAATTTTTCAGCAGATTCTAAAATTAGAAATTCAAGTTAATAATCCATAAAACTTATCCACACATCTTACCACTATTATCATTACACTTGCTAACCGTTTTGAGAAATTTATTCAGCATCCACCCCTATCTACTATATCTAACCTAATTCATATTATTCAATATATTACGTAATTTCTGACTTTTAATTACATTATTCTCTCTCTCACTCCATGTTAACCATATTTATTCTGATCATTTATCTCACCATTTCATTTCACTTATCAACCGATTCAAGTCAACATTTCATATTATTCATCCAAACAATAACGATTCGATTTTATATTACAAATATCAATCCTTGATTCACTGGTTACAGTTCTAAATGGTGTACTCTGTCTTAAATTTGGCCAATTTTATGGATTATTAGTTTGGATTGTAGAAGCTGATGAGAAATTATTGAAAAGAATATACTTCGTTCATATAATTATGTTGTGAAATGACCTTTTGTTTTATCTTCAACATCACACGTGTCTAAAAAATATTTTAGTAATTTCTCTTGGTAGTAAGTGTCACCAATACCTGTGTGATTTGTTTTCTTAATTCTATCTGTATTATATGCATATGTTTGTTGATTATTTCACATTATGTTAATTAAAATCAATTTTCTAAGTGATTGAGTGAATAAAATACGACTTTCTTTGTTGTTTAGCAAGATATAAAAAACGTACTTATGAGCAGTTGCAATTGGTTAGTGCCTTTCCTATTCCTCAGTTAATATATTCTTTCTCAATATTACATTTATTACGAGTACTATTTATGAGTTTCACTTTCATCTAGTTACATTATTCTTTTTTTTAAAGCAAACGTATTGCTTTTATATATCATCTAACAGTATGTGAATCTTACTTTTGATTAGTTATATAGATTTGTCGGAAATATTTTACTTGGGTAACGTTGAGTAAAGTTACTAGTCACATGGCTGACAAATTTATCTATTTTCTGTTCTGTATTTATACCGATGGGCAGTATATTTCATGGATACCATTTTACTTTAAATGTACTGTTTGTTTCTGACCACAGCTTATAAAAGACTACAAAGGTTAGAAAGAACTATGTATTCAACCGGTGTAGTGGAAGTGTATGACATTGGATGCACTGGAACATGGAAAAGATACTTTACTGAGGGCCTTGGATAGGTAGTGTTTACTAAAACTATAAATCAATATCAGTTAGGTACATATGTATATATTTTCGGAGTTTTTCGTTTGCAATGCGTGTTTATATATATATCACTAATAAATCTCTATTAATCACAGAGCCCCGAATGTCGTATTGCCTAATACGGACATACGTTGTCTCTATAAAACATCAAATTAGCCAATACAGTCTGACGCACTGTCATATGCATTTTCTCTGACTGATGATTTTTAAGTGTCAACCAAATCTACAAAATAACTGTATAATCTTTATCACTGTCCATCAGTCTTTAATTTCATTAAGTGACTGATAGAAATCTTTGAAACGTTAATACTCCTTCAAATTAATAACCCTGCCTGTAATTTTTCTATGATTAATACGGGTTCCAAGTCCAGACAAAGAAGGAGGGCTGAGCATGTGGTTAGTAAACCCATCTCGTAGAACGGAAGCTTCCCGAAGAAGTGGCAATAATAAAGGATCATTTCAATTATTTAACTTTGACCTAGAGGTTAAAGGGTCAAGATGAAAGCCGAGATTCTCCGACAGCTACGATACCGGTCCCTCCTTGTATGATCAAGGCAATAATTATCACGAATGTATAGAATGTTGTGAAACCTGTAAAACATAGCTGAGGAAACTCGGAGAAGCGACCTAGCGGTGCTTGGGGAAAGTAAAACCTATTGGGCACATGATGAATAGAAAAGATCAGCTTTGTTAGAAGGATTGTTGTTTTGTGTTCGTAATGAAGGACAAACCTCGCATATACGAAGAGTTGCGCTGAAACTCCAAACAGATGCACGAAAAGTACTTATAGGATAGGAATGTAGGGCCAGTGAAATTTCTGGGCACTGGCGACATCACTAAGCATTCGGGTCATTGAAATTAGGATGAATTACGATCCCCACCAAGGTCATGCACAATCAGTGCGTAATGGTTGATCGTAAGCCGTGGACGTGCCCATGCAGCAGTGGACGTGTTCATTCTCATATACCCTCTCCTACTAACATCTGTTATAACTTCGTTTATGTTGTACAGTCATCAGGGTAGCCGTAGTACCTGGGTTTGGTGAAAGGATAATCCACATTAGATACCTACCAATAATTTTGACTTCGACATAAACAGGTTGGTCATGCCATTTCTGTCCAAAACGAGTAGGCCGCAATCGCCGACACAGACCATCCATGTTGGTGATCTACAGGAATCTACTAGATCCAGGATCATCAAATCCTACTTCAAAATAAAGGAGGAGGGTGCCAGAATGCATGTTAAGTTGCAATGTGTAGCCACCAATGGTGGTGGCGGAAAGGATCAACATAAGTTTTATGAGAAATACCTTGAGAAATGTCCTATGATCCTGATAAGGGATTTACGCGGCAAGGTTAGGAAAGACAACAACGTATGTAAAAACATCATGGAGGAGAAAAGAAAGCTTAAAGTTCTAGTTATTTTCAACTTTATATGGTTTCTGTGAATTCGTTATACGTGGCGCAATATTTCCGCAAAAACGCACTTATGAGGTTTTCTCCGGACCTCACTAAAAAAACATTTGGATCAAAAATAAGTTCATAAGGTTCATAGACGTGAGAATAAAAAGTGGAACTGATATCACTTCACATAAACACTTGATAATGGTCAGGGTGAAATATATTTTTTAAAACACTGGACAAACAACATAACAGGATTTCAACAAAGCCATTCTTTGAAATACTCACAACCTGAAGAATTTCAAGATAGCTTGCAAGATCTATGAAACGATGAGGAAACTAAGTCAGAGCATAACCAGAAAGGTACCAAAGAAGCAACAACTTCAACATGTCATTGGACCGCAAGAAGCACCAGCTTGACAAATCAGTTTATGTTACTACGTTGGTCAAGATTCGAGAAAGGAAGGACAGGAAGACAGTAATCGCTAGCTATCAAACAAAACTAAATGAAGTAAAGGGCTAGACTGAATTCACAGAGGAAAACAATCCATTGACGAGGAGCATTCAAACTGACAATCTGAAATACGTGGAGGATCTAGCTATGATAGCTGAAATGGATTCGAGGGCAAGAAATATGACACTGGTGTGCGCTACGTATGTGGCCAGACTTAAGATGTATGTGGCAGGAGTTGTAGGTGGAATGAAGACCAGTGGAATACTGAAATTATCAGAGGATTAACAGATACAGAGAAATATTTGATAACAATATGATTAGAAAAATGTTGGAGTATGTGAAGAACATCTCATTGACGATGTGCGAAAGATGTAGTAAATGTATGACTTTCATAATTTACAAAGGCACTGTGTGATATTGCGTATCATATATTGTTGGTTTGCTGCAGGAACAACTGCCATATTAAGTGGGTCTCTCTCTAAAGTAGCTTCATGCCGAAGCCCTTCATGCAAAAAGTAGATATCAGAATGGTGATGAATGGTAACTTCAAAGCGTTATTAACTTATTTACATCTACGGTGAAGATTGTCTGAGCTGGGTTAGGTCTTTCAGGTTCATTGAAAAAACCATACTGACAGCAAGGTTTTACGGTGCCAGGAAACCTGAATGATGCTGTGGTTTGTAAAATCAGTGACAGATCTTCCAAAAATTACTTATCTAGCCTTTACACGTGTATAGAAACAATCAGAAAGCGTCCTAATATGCCCAAGGATTTCTTTTTGCGGAGCACTCCACAAACAACCTGATATTGAATACTCATAATGGCAACAGACGTCTTGTGGCGTGTGCTACTTATGTCGGCGTAAGTAGTATATGACGTTAGTCAGGAACACAATGTATGGCAGCAGAGAGACAAGAGGATAGAACAGTAAAGAATGGAAACAGGATGCAAGTTGTATGAAAATGCAAGAACAATGAAGTCTGAGTCATTTTAAGACAATTGATGGACATTTTGCAAATTAAGCATTACTTATATGGTTCTCAGATTTTATTGGGATGCTCTGTAATTTTGAAGTCAAATAAATTCGCTTTTTCTCAGAGGTTTCCTTGTTCACTACAGTCTATTCTACATTCATAGCTTTTGAAGGCTTGTGCTTGCTGTTGTGAATCGTCGCATGAGTCTAAAGCTAATAATAACCTTCGGGGTTGAAATAGCCGAGTGCATCAATCATCATCAAGACGGTTGGAAGTTTCATTGTTCGTATTTGAGTATTCGAGTGATAAAATCCGTATGAGTTTTACATAAGCAAAATCATATACCTAAAAATTCCACAGGTATTCGGAGTTTGACTACACTCTTGTTTGTAAAACCTTTATAGTCGAATGATACCGACCAAGTCCAATCATTAGTTAAGAACTAAGGAGTTTAAGTTTACATATGGTGTAGTGCCGGTTATTATGTTAAACCCATATACCTTATTCTAGCTTTCGGACAGCCCATTCTATTCATTTTACTTGAGTCACATTCTGACCTTGTTATTTACTCGCATATCAATCCTGACTGTTTTTGTATGAGCGCGTAGGTGTGTGTAAATTTCTTATCCCATTACTTATCACATGTCTGTAATTTAATTTTGTGTAACCATAAATATTGAATAACGCCTGGTTAAATGGAAGTTGACTTACCAGCTATCTCCATTTTGCGTCGTTTCTCTTCTTTCTACTCCATTCGCTTTATATACAAAATATATGTATTCACAAGTCCATTTTCGTTATTCGACTTATTTGATTCCGTTATTGACTAATGCGATTTAAGTCGATGATAATATACGAAAATAGGCGATATATATTTTTCAATGAAAATCATTCATATGATCTAATTAAAGTTAGATCCACGGGCTACTAATGTGGAGAGCCCTTTCGACAACATCGTTCGATCTAAATGACGATTAAATAACGGGCCTCCACAATAGTAGGTTATCTGTGTAATGGTGTCTGATCTAAGCTGGCTGATCGTAGCATGGGATGAGTAGCATGGCTTACCCACTCTTAATCTGCTAAGGATGAGTGGTTGATCACCATCAGCTAGGGTGTGTCCACCAGAGAGGATGAGGTGGATTTATTTACCACCACATACCGAATTATAACGTCAATAAGACTAGAATGATCCTGGTAATTGATGATGTCAAGAATCAAGCTTGTAATACTTTCCAAAACATAGTACTTATAATTTGATTTCAGTTAAATGATTGTCTTAACTTTACATTTAATTTGTATAGGGTAAACCTCGGAATTTCGGAATTGCACAGGTAGGTGAATTATAAAATTCCTCTTTGTCTAAAGTAGCCAAGTAAACTTATGATGATTTCTGGATGAGCGAACTTGATATACTATAAAGACTGAGAATGACAACTGAATTTACGATATTGTTCAATTTCATTGATCTACTTGACGTAGATGCTTGAATCCCTCTTTGGAAACATCGAAGACTCGTTTCTACTTGACAAAAGTTTTTTTAGGTATAAGAGTTTTACATTTTGTCCATAAATACCTGAGCTTTGTGAATGGATACAGGTTTCAATAACTAATGTTTACCACTTTCTGATTTTGCGCCACATACACGGTTACAAGGTCATCTCTATTCCTTGTAATTAGGATTAAAGTTGGGTTTATCATTTTCGAAGTGAACTTTGCAATGAACATTAAATTAATATCAGCCCAAGGTATATGTAGCCGCAATATCTACCGACTTTTGAGGAGGAATTCAGCGTCGCAAGCAATAAAACCGTTCTTTTATCAAGATATATTGCAGTTGGAGAAACCACCATATGCAGACACACCTTTTCGAAAGCTAACGGGTTCGTAGGAGTATTTTTAAATACTCAGCAAATTTATAGGAGATCTGGTTTCTTTTAAGGAGTTTGACAATACACGGCTTCTGAAAGTCGATTCGACGGCACTAACGTTGTTGTCCGAGCAAGCCATGATAGACGTTGCTCATCTGCTAAGACCTGCTCACCTGCAAGTTTGTTTATCTTTAGAAGTAATTACAATATATTTTAGTCTCTTTCAAATATCCTAAAGGATCCTGAGGCATCTAGCAACGATAAGTTTGTCGCACTTGAACTCCTGAAGAATGCCAATGTCGCATGCGGTATGATCCTACCTGGTTGTCAGGATACTGGGACGGCTATATGTATGGGTAAAAAGGGTCAGTTCGTCTGGACAGATGGGGATGACGCAGAATCTATTTCACGTGGTATATATAATACATACACGTCTAAGTATCTTCGTTACTCTCAAGTATGTAAGTTCTCGCATGCTTGTGTTTACAAACCATCGTGAAGTACTTTTTTATCCGGGGTCTGGAACTATCCGGATGAATGTACACAAAAGTTTGGGAACCATAATTCGCAACAGTGAAATATACCTTTACTCATCACAACGGTTGCTGCCACCTTGACGTGTTGGTCGGTAACTTAGATATATTTCTTAGGCTTAGAAAACCATTCATTGACTGTCAACCTCCTTAAGGCAAAGCTTCAAAGGAGGAGTGACAATATGACCCTCCATCGAAGGCACTTTTGTCATAAGTCTTACTATTTGTATGGTGACGAGCTACGTCCTCAATACTTGTAGACACTTTTGGTTGTAGATAGGTAGGGGTTAAGAATTAAGATTAGTTCTGCATGTCATCTCTTACAATCTGAACCTCGCTGACTTAAACGTTATTCATAATTTAACCAGAAATTACCAGTTCTTATTGTGTCCACTTTTGCGATTGTTAAGGGTTTCAGTGCAGGTAGCTCACTTGTGGTTGAAACCTAAAAATGCAGTGAACGTTTAACTTTCTTGAGTTTAGTCTTATGTCACTTGTCTTTCAATCCCGCGTTATTCTTGGGAGCAGAGTATATCTACTGTCGTGATTCATCGATAGACAAACATAAAAATCTATACTAGTCAATCGAGTTCGTTATTTTGGGTGACTTTATTTTAAGGGAGGTTGCGTTCTACATGTTTCATCACTGAATATGTATTGTTAGTTTTGTGTTTTATTATCTTACACAATTCGTTTTTCTAAGACCTCTTTGTCTCTCTATTAGGTTGCTCCGCTAGATCTGTTTACGGAAAAAAACACTTGCACTAATCTACCGGCACAAATTGAAATATATTCAACGAGTGGCAGCGAATACAATTTTTTATTTGTTGCGAAGGGTGGAGGGTCTGCCAATAAAACTTTCTTGTATCAACAGACAAAGGCTCTTCTCAATCCTAATAGTTTGTACTCATTTGTCAATGAGAAAATTAAAGTAAGTTAACAGTTTTCTCATATCATTTTGTAGACGTTGGGAACTGCCGCTTGTCCTCCGTATCATTTGGCCGTTGTTATTGGTGGGACTTCAGCTGAATTTACTCTAAAAACTGTGAAGCTTGCATCATGCAAGTACTTGGACCATCTTCCGTCAACAGGTTTGTTTGTGTTTTTTTTGCCAGTCACATCACAGTTTCCCAACTTCTCATGTTTGAAAGTGGTACCTTGATTATATTAGAAAACAGGACTTTAACTAAATACACTAACTTGCCATTTTATCAGACTAGTACTTTGGTTAAATCAAAAGAACAAAGGTGACATTTTTGGCTGGCTGGAATGACCCTGCTGTTACTGATGTACAAAACACTCATAATTCCTATGTAATATTTTGATATCCATAAAAAAAACCTAGTCCAGTTTCCAAGTGAACCGCGCTAGCCTCTAGGCTAGCTACCATTCCACTGAAAAGTATAGATGAGCATTGGTTGCAATTGCATGACGCCATGAAAATGGCAGGTACAGTCAGTTGTGGGTTCGCGAAACGTCCTGCTTATAAGCACTGGGTTTCTTCTGGTTCCTTACAACTCATTGAAGCCCGTCGGTCTACTCCGAGTGACCGTGAGTTTGACCAGAAACGAAGGATGTTACGTAAGGAAATTGGGCAAAGCTTGCGTAAGGACCGAGAAGCCTGGTGGTCGGAGCGTGCTAATGAGCTGGAAGCAGCAGCTGCATCTGATAATTACCGGAAGCTCTTCCAGCTCATCCGAGCCACTGGCATCAAGAAGTCTGGTGTGAGTGAAACAATCTGCGAGGATGACGGGATGCCAATCACTAGCATCCATCGACGTCTTGGACGATGGGCGGAATTCTTCTAAGCGCAGTTCAACTGGCCTGCTGCTCCGGCAGCATCGGTCAGACTGTCCTGCCCTCCATGGCCGGTGACGATTGATCCACCAAATGAGACGGAAGTCCGCAAGGAACTTGAAGCGCTACAAATCACCTGGCTCAGATGACTTACCTCCGGCTCTTTTTAAAGATGGTGGTGACTTTCTGACCAAGGAACTGACGACGTTGTTTACAAAGGTTTGGGTGTTAGAGAGTGTACCAACGTCATGGTATGAGTCGATAGTTGTCCCTATCTTTAAAAAGGGTTCACGTCTTTCCTGTAACAGCTATTGGGGTATAAGTCTACTTTCGATTGCGTCCAAGCTATTGACTTCCGTCATACTTCGTAGGTTGTTCAGAACCCGAGAAAGATTGACTCGCGAGGAGCAGGCTGGGTTTCGTTCTGGTCGAGGATGTATTGATCATATCTTCACCCTCGGCCAAACGTTAGAACATCGCCATACTTATCAAAGGCCAACAATCGTAGTGTTTCTTGACAGTAGGGCTGCCTTCGATTCGTTGGATAGGACTGTTCTCTGGGATTGTCTATTGAAGAAGGGTGTGCCTGAGAAGTTTATTAACATTCTAAAAGCCCTATATAAAAACACCTCAGGCAGAGTGAGGGCATACAACCACCTCTCTCCATTTTTCCATTCGAGCAGTGGGGCTAGGCAGGGTTGCCCAATCTCACCATTCCTCTTCAACTTTGCCATCGATGACATTCTGGAAACAGCTCTGATGGATGTAGGTAATTGCGCTGTAGATCTGTTGCCTTGAGAAAGACTTCTAGACCTTGAGTATGCGGATGATATTGTCTTACTGTGCGACAATGCCCAAGGCATGCGATCCGCACTTAATCAGTTGGCAATCAGTGTCCGTAGGCATGGTATGTGCTTTGCACCTTCGAAGTGCAAAGTACTTCTACAAGACTAGCAGGATTCCGATCCTGTACTCACCCTGGATGGTGAGCAGATAGACGTAGTCGAGAAGTCCGTGTATCTGGGTAGCTGCATAAGTGCTGGTGGGGGTGTGAGTGATGAGAGCAATGCACGTATAGTGAAAGCCAGAGCGGCTTATGCCAATCTGAGCCACCTTTGGCGCCTTCGTGATGTTAGTCTGGCTGTAAAAGGTTGGATCTACAACGCGTCGGTGAGAGCAGTTTTGCTCTATGCTTGTGAAACCTGGCCTCTCCGAGTTGAAAACGTTAGACGACTCTCTGTGTTCGATCATTGCCGTCTCCGAAGGATTGCTGACATCCAGTGGCAGAGGTTCGGCATCGTGTGTTCGAGCACAGAGAAGATAATGCAATTGGTGTCACCATCTTTAAGCACCGACTTCGGTGGCTTGGACATGTTCTACGAATGTCGTCCCAGAGAATTCCACGTCGTGCATTATTTGCCGACTCTGGGACTGGTTGGAAGAAGCGGAAAGGTGGTCAGTGCATGACATGGTGTCGTGGTATGAAAGAAAGCTGCAAAGGACTGGCTTCTGTTAGTCCTTCGCGACTCCCTGGTTGGGGTCCGAGAGATGGTGCTATACAGTGGCTAGAGACGTTATCAGATATGGCTCAGAATAGAAGCCAGTGGCAATCCTGCTGTAACCTTTTACTTCATAAAAAGTGGTTGTGTCTCCCTTAACTGAAAAATTTCTTCTGATTATACCTTTTTGTTCCGCCATTTTTACCATTATTATTATTACACCACCTTACATCAAGCTTTTTTTTCTCCTTCGGCTTAAATTCTCATTGTTTTGTGTTGCGCATTCTTGTACCAATATTTATGTGTTCAAATAAATAAATAATTTTGTCGTGATATACAAGAAGCACCTCAGTGTTATAGTCTGTGAATTACAACAACGGTTTTTTAAAACCAACTAAACATGTTATTCCTCAAGTAACCATTGCTTAAGTAGATTCTTGTACTGACATAAACTTCTGGTTCATTTTTGCGGTTAGTATCTGATTTTTTTCCATTTTACCAAGTGTGTTTTTACAGGAGGGCACTAAAAACGTGACTCACACAAACAGAATTGATGATACATCCACGATATATATATATATATATATATATATATATATATATATATATATATATATATTGTGGGCAACTGAAGTGTGAATTATCAGTTGCTTTGACTTCATGGTCCGATGTTATGTTTTGGTTTGGTTGCCCGTAGTTTTCTTACAGCCTACTCCCGCACCGGGAAACAGCACCCGTCGCTTAAAAATGTAGCGAAGAAATAAATAAACCTTTTTAAGGTCCTGTACGATTAGTCACATCAGAACTTATGTGGTGACCTACCCTCAGCATTTTCAATCTGAAGTGTTATTTAGACATGCCCACTACGTCTATTTGTATTTAATTTCGCCATAGATGTCCTAAAAACCATAATTTTTCCGTCTAGCTTTTCAGTTGTTGATTCCTCTGGAGAGTCACTAGTTTGCTTAGCGTGCTCAGAGGACGCAATCTTATTCTATGAAGACGCTGACACATTGTGATCTCTTGAATTTCTTGAGTAACGATCTAAGCACATTTGAGATGCATTTCTTTCTTTAAATATGAAATGTTACTTCAAGATTGGTATTCATCTTTGCCTAGACTGATCATATTGAGTAAATCAGTTGAACTCAGTGACCATCACCTATCTTGGAATTGTTATCAGCCCTGTTGTGTCGGTGGGTGACGATATTTTGGTCTGGGTTCAAAAGTCTGTCTTTTGACTATTTCCATTGCTTGTGTAATAAGCGAGGCGCCCGTATGTCTGTTGAAAGACATCTATTTATTTGAGCACAGATATTGGTACAAAAGGGCACCAGATACATATGCGCCACACAAGTCACTTGATTTGTGTGTGGGCTGTGATACTACCTGGGTGCCCAGAGCGAACTGGGTGGTTTTTTTAGAGGCCTTTGAGCTAAGGGTCTGATACACAAGGCAGTGGAGCAACGTTTGGAGATGTAGTCCTATGGTATCCGGTAACCAACGATTGGTTAATAAGCGATTTCTTACTTCAGGATACTAGAGTTCATGTGCATCATTGGTTTGGAGTCAGGGTTTTCCAACTCCCTTAGGTGAACCCTCCATATCCACCAACCCGGGTTAAAGTGCCGGACATTCGCTTTCTGTCCTTTCGATTTCGTAAATAACACCCTGGTGAGAGAATATACTGAGTAGGACTTCCGTGGAACTGGCTGTATATATGTGGCCATGTAAGAGCATTTCGAGAGGGAGAGCTAGTTCTCGTCACCCTCGGCCATACTAGAGCATGTTGAGGCGTTAAAAAGAGAAATGTAGTGTGTATAAATCCTCTTTATGTTATTTTGTGAACCAATTGTTGGTCACCGGCAACCATGGGACTGCATCTCCTTACGATGCTCCACTGCCTTGTGGATCAGACCTTCAGGTCAAAGGCTCGGGGTGTGACCCCCTAAGAAAACCACCTGCTTCGGTCTGGGCACCCGGGCAGTATCACAGCCCTGACACATATCGAATGAGATTTGTGTGGCGCATATGTATTTGGTGCCTCTTTGTACCAATATCTGTGTGTTGAAATAAATAAATAAATAGTATAAATCCTCTTTATGTTATTTTGTGGATGTGAAACATATTTTGTGGAAATAAAGGACGTAGAAAGACTTCAGGTTTTTGATTATAAGTGTATTTAAAGTGTTAATCATGTATCGTGGTGTGATCGGTTGAGTAGTGACGACGTTAGGTGCAAGGTATTGAGCGATGATTTCAGATCAGTTGGTACGACTGAATTTTCACTGTCGTAGTTTGTACGTGTGTTACACGTGCAAAATCACTGTCTGCGGTGTTAGAGATAGTTGGAAGAAAATTAGGGGCGGCCAAATCAAAACGTGGCATCAGTGCTTGAAGACACTAACCTCTAGTCTGAGCCATGTTGGTAGATGCAGACTACTTGGTTGGGGTCCGCGTGACTTTCGTAAACAATTGTTGGAGACTCTTGGTGACATGGCTCAGAATCGATCACAATGGCGTCGGTGTATACACTCCCTGTTTTCCCTTAAACTAAGAGATTAAAAGCGCTTCATATCTTTCTTTCTACTAACTAATTCTTTCTTCCTATACTATATCCTTATATGCAGTCTTTCTCCTGTATATTACCATGTTTGACCTCACCACTCCTATGAATCCGGTTTTCATCTTGCTGTGCTAATGCGGTATGGCAACCTGGACCGACGCATATATGTATCTGGTCCTACGTTGTAGCTGACTGACTGACTGAAGGTTTATCCTACTTTTACTATGATCTTAGTGGGAAGCTTTAGTAGGATCACCATCAACTTTTATTTCGAATCATATTTTTGATTCGTAGGACTCCCGTCATTAAGTTTTGATAATCCGTATCATATCATCAAGCCATATAATGCACGGTTGAAAATCATCTGGATAACATTAATGAAATACGTCTCAGCCACAAGGGCCACTGTTTGTAGTGTTTATTTGTGCAGATCTACAGCTTTTGTTGAGTAACATGACACATAATTTTTATATTTTTGTAGCGTTATTAGAAATGGGTCTTTTTAAATCCTGAGAAGTATGGAAGTACGTTCACTAATTATCTACCTTCAAGCGTAAATTTTCGTGTGAAATAGGTGTCCTTATGCATACCCGAAAATTTCTTTTCAAGACATCTTTTCCACTCTGTTTACTGATCCTGTGTTTTGTTCAGTATTTAACAGATAATTGCATGTTAAATCTAGGTAATGAACATGGAAGAGCTTTTCGTGATCGAGAGGCTGAAGAAAAAATATTGGAGTTAACTCGGAAAGTTGGGATAGGAGCACAGTTTGGCGGCAAATACTTCTGTCATGATGTACGGGTAATCCGCTTGCCCAGACATGGAGCATCATGTCCCGTTGGTATTGGCGTCTCCTGTTCCGCAGATAGGCAGGTATTTTATGTCAAAACCACCGTTTTTGTAGACTTTCTTAGGATGCTTTTACTATTTAGTTGAGCAGTAAGAAAGCTCAATGAAAACTGACTGGACTTTAAAGTTTTATTCATAATTCCCGTAACCTTTTGAAGTGCGAGTACACAAAATCTAATCGTATTTTCATTTATATAACTGTACAAAACATATCTTGTCTGTTAGCTGATATTCTGTTCCAGAGTTCTGCCTGATTTCTGTTTATTATGCTGAATTTAATTCTGCCGGGTTTCTCAACTAAGAAAGGAGAGTAATACCTATTAAGCAAGTAGAAACATTTAAGTAAATGAATTCATATCGCAGGATATATCTACTAAGCGTAAGTAACTTCAATACTAAAAGTACCTCGTAACAATATCTACAACTGTTTCCAAGTGTTCCAGTAGTTTAACTTTACTTCTGTTAATATATTGTGAAGCTGGTTAATCTGTATCTATATTGACTCCTGTTTTATTTATTTCTTCATTCATATCTAATATCTTCCATTGATAGTAGATTGTCAGTTATATGAAAAACTTGTGTAAACGCCTTTCTTAAGTGAGCTCCCTTTGGAAACACCTCATACTAACGCAGCTTAAGGTTCGTGGGCACATGTTTACTTTGCCAAACTCATTATTTTGTAAAACTGATAATCAGTTTTCGTGCTACTTTTTCGTGTATTGTTGTGCAATTACAAATAACGTAATGTCGGCTCTTCGTTGTGTATTTGGAAACGACCGTTATCAGAGAGTTACATCAGTTGCGATTAATCAACAGATAATCTTTTATTTGAGAGCTGTACGTTTTCGTTCATGATATTTCGGACTGCATTTAATCAGTATCTCTTGGGATATGTGCATCCTGAATGACTCGCTTTACTCATTAACCTAGTGGATAATGCGTTTGCATTTAAAGCGATTGATACTGGTTTTAATTGTTAATGTAAGCATCATCACTACGTTCCAGGTATATCCAGCCATTGGGTTTTAACTCGGACGAAACTTGTGCCTTGTACTCCACTGCTAACCAAAATCTGAAAATATGCCAGGGAATCTTCCATTCAGTGGTTAGCTGGCTTTTAGAAAAATATTTATTCACTGGATCCACTCTAGTTTTTTTTTTCGAACGACGGTTATTTTTAAAAAAGGAATGCTGTTCGAATCATTACAAATCTGTGTGCTGTAATCAGGTATTCAATCCCTTTTAGATTCTGGGAAGAATAACTCAAGACGGAGTTTTTCTTGAGCAGTTAGAAAGTGATCCATCTAAATATTTACCTGATCCATCTTTAAATCAACTTCCAGCTGATGTTGTAAAAGTGAATCTGAATCTTCCAATGAAAGAAATTTTAGCTGAACTTTCTAAGTACCCAATCAAAACTCGTTTATCACTAACTGGGACTTTAGTTGTTGCTCGTGATATCGCCCATGCAAAGATCAAGGTTAGTTTTCGAAATAAATCGCTGTGTTAAGTTTTTCGTCTGTGAAATTGTTTCAGTATTTTATGCCTGTCCACATAGTGTTTTCGGCAAAACTAACTACAGTCCAAGATCTGTCTTACGTTTTGATTAGCATTGTTCCAGTGCTGCAGAAATTGTCGAAACTGGTAAATTTTATCCTGTAAATGTAAGTTTTATGGATGCTTGTTGAATAATCCATCATTTCTTAAAATTCCAACCAGAATCAGTCAGAAGAGGGTCTTAATTTATGGGCAAATCAGTCAGATTTGAGATTGTGACTCATGGATTTTGGCTCGAAATTTATCCATATGGCTACATAACATTTCGGGATTACAGGTGATGCCAGTTCATGATTGAAATTCTAATTCTCGACTCCTAGTTCTAATTCCTCACACTAATTTATAACCCTATTTCGACCCTGATTTCTACGCTGTCCGATTGTCTTCGACTCTAATAAGTGGTTGAAGTTTTTCAAGGCCAATTTAGTATAGCTCAAAGGTCGTCCATAAATTATAGTGTAGCCCCGCCTTCTTATATCCTCTCGGTTGTCGGGTCTGGGTCGGAGGCTCATTATGAGTGTACTCCGAATTTGGTTATATGCCAAGGTAATACGTAAGATGATGACTTTTGATAAAGAGTAATCCTTAGGACATCATTTTTTGAGTTAGTATACAAAATTTGCATTCCGTAGAACTTGGCGGAGTGTGAAGTGTTGACCAACCAGTTTTCTCTTTAGTTTTTGAGTTCATGGTAGGTAATCTTGTAAAAATTTCGTCTACCTATCTCCCTATCGTTAGTATGACGAAGTAGGCTTGATTTCACTTCATTTTCTGACTGCTACTACCTTTAAAAATTATCAACTCAATCATTATACCCACAGTTGTTCTTGGGTTTAATGTTTGAATATTTCTGATTTTCTTGCACATAGACAACTTTTGAAGTTTAATGGATTCATAATTTAATGGTTTCTCCAGTATTTAGCTATGGTCAAAGGTTAAACATTGATCTGAATAAGACAGTATGATCATGAGACTAACTCGGTTAGTATTTTAGCACATATTATTTCGAAACGATTAGATAAAGCACGTTAATAAACCCCTTATATAATCCCATGTACACTAAATTCCACACGATTAATCTTTTGTTAACTGTAAAGGAACGTCTTGATTCTGGCCAACCAATGCCTGACTATTTACGTAATCACCCAGTATATTACGCTGGTCCAGCTAAAACACCTATGAATTATCCTAGTGGGTCTTTTGGACCAACCACAGCTGGTCGCATGGATTCTTATGTTGATCAGTTTCAACAAGCCGGAGGAAGTATGATTATGTTGGCCAAAGGTAACAGATCAAAAGCTGTAAGTCAGTGTTTGTTAACATATGAACTTGTCTTGTTAACTTACTGCAGAATACACTCGCTTTTTTTAAATATTCTGAACTGTTCTACGTAGTCACTTATTTCGCTCAGTAAATAATATTGTCTTTTGTGATTTGATTATTTTTGGCAGCTCATGTGTTTACAGATCATTTAATCAACAATCAAAAACAGTGTTTAATAAACAGTTTCAATTGTAGATTGTTGTTGAACTGATAGAGCGGCTGAAAATATTTTCTCATTGTACAGATGTAGTTGACCATACACAATTCTGGATAAAGGTGCTCGTGTCGTATTGTTTAGTATACTATGTTTTACGATCAGGCGAACATTGAGTTAACGTCGAAGTGCTCCTTATTATCATAACACATTCCAGTTTTTGTAGTGTAAAAACTGTCTGTCTCACTATCAGCGTTCATACAACTATCTAGATACATAAACTTTACTCTTTTCATTGGTTAATTATCTACACCCACTTCAAGTACAATACTTTTCTAACTGATAATCACATACTATTTCTGCAAACACTGATCGTCTACTATACAACTAGGTTTTGATTAACACCCATATAGCCTCACTTATAATATAGTGAAAAAGTCGGTAGACGCGGACTACTTAATTTGGGTCCATGTGGCTATCGTAACCAGTGGTTGGAGAGTGGGTGACATGACTCAGAACAGATCATAATGACGTAGGTGTATACACTCTCTGTCTTCTCTTAAGCTATGAGATTAAAATTGCTTTATATATTTCTTTCTGCCAACCATTTCTTTCTTCCTGTTCTACATTTTTATATGCAATCTTTCTTTCCATATATTTCCACCAATGAATTTAGTACTTCTATGAATTCGGTGTTCACTTTGTTGTGCTAATTTGAACCTATGCATATATATGCCTGCTCCTACGTTGTAGCTGACTGACCGACTGAGTGGGAAAGTCTATCTTGTTAGTTGATAATAGTTCTGAGTTTATGTTAACTAGTGGGATCGGGAGCATGATCCTCTTAAATGCGTCAATCTTGGACGAAATAGGCCCCTATACCCTCGCTTGTTTTAGCTGCTCTTCGTTTACCGACTGTAGTTGGGGATCGATCGTAACATACTTTTTCTTCTTTGATTAATGTCACTGTGATATGTATAATACGTTTGTTATATATCAAAGGAAACACTGGTTACTGAATATTTTGTTATAAAACAGTCACTGTGAAGTGTGTTTTATGTTACTTTTAACTGGATATTTGGATCTTTGTTTTGATATTACAGGTGACAAATGCATGTAAAAAACATGGAGGCTTTTATCTAGGTTCAATTGGTGGTCCAGCTGCAATTCTTGCTCAGAATTGTATAAAAAAAGTTGAAGTTCTTGAATATCCTGAACTAGGTGTGTTAAATATCTTATTAAATTAAACTATTGTTTTATTTTGAGAATTTTCATCACTAAAACTAAATCTTTGTAACTGATAATTTAGGAAAGAGAATTTTTATTTTTAATCTGTTTAATCTTGACAGTTAGGCTTATCTATATAGCTTAAATTGTCGATTATTTAACAGTCAACTTTATTCATGATTCTCTTCATATATGTATTAAGTTATTGTTGTTCCTTTAATTGAAAAGATTTTATCACGTAGGTGTTTTTAAATATTAAACTGTAGAAACAGTATAGAAAATTTGACTATTTTAATTTTTGTAAGTTGAGACAAGTCATACCCTTGCTACTTGTTTTAAGTTCAAGAAAGCTGCTTTAGTTAGGTTCATCATTAGCAATTAAGTCAGAATTTCAGAGGTCGCCATAAATCGTCGCGCTTTCTCAAAAAACAGATGCAGTTTAGACTACTGTGTTCCTTGTGACTATTGCATCAAGATGTCCATTTCTTTAGTCATGGTAACTACTTTTCTAAGTATTAATCTTCATTACTATTCTTGTTGATTCCTATTAAGAGAAAAAAGAATGAATAATTCTAGTGTCGTAGTTGAAATTGTAAGAATCCTCATTACTACACAGGTATCTGCTCAAATATCATCTGTAACACAGTAACTAAATTTCATGTTTACTTTTTTAAATTATATGCTTCATTCAGCTGTTATGCCTTGGTAATACATTTAAAAAACACCTCATGTTGTTTCTCCGTACCTGGAACTTGTTAAGTATTTATATATTTCAAAGGCGTCATAAATAATCTAGTCTGGCTAATATCGCACTGTCTTTCGGTGTTCGAACTAAAATTTGTCATGTGCTAACCCACCAGAACTGACCCAACTCTAGCCATTCGCCACCATGTTTCCTGTTGTTAATTAGGCCTGTTAGCAGTCATATACTGATTTTAGATAGGTTTTAAGTTATATTTTTAAAAGATCCACATATCTGATATCAGAATGATATAATTTTCAAGAAAATAATTATTGTACATGGTTCTATTTCATGAGTCATTATCGAAGCTGTGTATTAATGATCTAAGGTATCACACAAATTGTTACCAGCGGCTTAATTTTAAATATTTTTTGTATGCAGTCAATATTATCACTGTATCCTTTTGTTTCGAATTAACAATAACATTCATACTCATGGGTAATAAAATACTAGGCTCAATAGTTTTATTGATTGTAGATTAATTCATTCATCTTTCCATTTTCTATAAGAATTTATAACATATGGCAACACTTTTTCATATTTTCTGTTTAATCATGATTATTATTATTATCGTGTAACGTTTGAAAAGGTACGTTCACTCCTTGTTTTGTTTTTATTCTGACCGTTCATTCAATTGATTATATATATACTTATTGTTTCAGGAATGGAGGCCATTTGGCGTGTTGAAGTTGTGGATTTTCCTGCTTTCATAGTTGTCGATGATAAAGGCAATGATTTCTTTAAAGAATGGCAAGTAGAATGAAAAAGAAACTAATTGGCGAAATACTTTGAAAAAATATCTGAAAGTTTTTCTTTCTAATCTCATTTATTGGCTTATCAATTTATCTGGTCGTATCTATTTTCATTGTTTAATTTATTTTGTTGGAACTTGTTCTTTAATTGTGAATACAAGTCATTCACAATATACAGCTACTCAGGTGTGTTATCTTAGTTTCAGACGTTAAGCAATTAATTGGTTTGATGACTGTAATCTTTTGTGCTATTTTTTTAAAACTTCACTTGATTATTTCATTAAAATAAAACCATCTTAATTGAATCAATATTTCAGTTGTCTTACAACGGGGTTGGTTTCTTACAGTCTGCAAACATTGGTTGACTAAATTTAATATTTTTATGTACAAATTATTTTAAGGCATCTTTACGAGGAAGCAGTATAGTTAGTTAATTTACGTAAATAAAAATGATCGAGACCATTTTTTACAATCGTTTATTATTTAATTTAACTTACAACATTGATTCGAATATTAAAGTGGAAGTAGGCTCAATGTTACTGGACGAAATTCGGTCCCATCATAAAGTATTTTTTTCCAAACAGCTTAACTCGGCTGTTGTTTTAATTTCAGGTACATTTAGTGAATATTGAGTTTTATATCCTAATGGTATACTTTTCTAGTAAAATAACCGAACATTCACATCTTGAGTCATCATGACAGGTTTTCTAAGTCTGAGTTCTTGACAAAATCCACTGGTATTTACGTGTGAGCAGCGTTAAAATATTTGTATTTTCTAAAGTATAAATATATGTGGATAAATATAAGCAGACGTGGATAGTTGCTAGAAGTGGAATTCAGGAGTCGCGTTTCGTCGTACTTGGGACAAATCAGCTGGACGTACCTGTGTGGTACGTAGTTTTGTCGTCGCTTAAATCGGACGATGTTCGTTGAAGTGCTCACCAATGTGGGGGCCCGAGATCTGACTCCAATTCAGATTGGTATGATATGAATGCTATCACTTATTCTCGTATATAATCGTCGACTTAAATCACGTTAGTTAATAACGGAATTAAATAAGTCAATTAACGAGAATGGCCTTTGAATACATATATTTTGTAAGTAAAGTGAATGTAATAGAACAGAGCAAAACGACGCGCGTGGAAGATGGCTGGGAAGCCAACTCCATTTCAGTCAAGAGTTACTCCATATTTATAGGCAGACAGAATAAAGCTACAGACATGTGATTAATGCGATAAGAAGGGCACACACATATACGCTCATATAAAAACAATCAGGACTGATAAGCGAATAATTAACAAGGTCAAAATGTGACTCAAGTAGAATGAATAAAATGGGATATCCGCAAGCTAGAATAAGGTAGATGGGCTTGGCATAATAACTGACACTACACCTGCATCTCAGAGTTGATGTTCACTCTGACACTCGAACTCAGTACCGTTCGCTTCAAACACCATCATGTTATCCACTTAGCTACTGAGTCCTGGTAACCACTTGCTTGTACAATGGGGTGAAGTTTAAATTCACTTCATATTGTTTATTTGAATCTTTTTATTACTGCAATTGGTCAGTCTCTTATTGACAAATGTGCTATCTTTTGATGATTACCTCGATATTGTCTTATAATGTGAATTAAGACAATGCGCACAGTATGCACATATGTCAATAAGAGACTTATCGATTGCATTCCTAAACATCAATGGGAAGATTCAAGTAAACAATACGAAGTGAATTTATGTAGACAACTGTTGGTGTGAATTTCATCATGTAGCGCTCTTATAAATACTGGGAGTTTTGAGTACTAGAGTAGGCACACATGAACTTCTCATATAAGCACAATGCGAAGTTGCGGTTAGCACTTTCTATTTTGAAGAAGCTGTGCGTAATTGGGATTCGTAGCCATTTCTAGATTCACTTGTACTCAAGTGAGGGTGTATTTCGTATTATTAAAGCTGTAATAGTAGGTAGACTAGGATTAGTCTTTTTTATAGGTGGCAATCCTGTGAGCTTCTCATGTACATGTGAAATGTAGTTGAGTTTGCTTGCGTCAGTAATTATTTATATATAGTAGTTGGTGATCAGTGTAGGTGTATATCGGCTTTTTACATGCCAGTGGATAATTCTAATAAAGGAATTTTGAAAGATTTTAAGTAGTTTTTCATATCTGTCAATTTATTGTCATTATTGGACATTTGTATTTCCCAATTCACATGTATGATGAAAATTAAAATTGTTGGAATATAATATTATGTATAGATTATAGAGTTGAGGATTAGGTTAAGTGTATAGCTTACATATACTAATGTTTTTTGAGTATTGGGGGAAATTAGCCTCTTGTGGTTCACTTTTGTTGTTGTCAGTTTCTTGAGCATTTTATGTCATTCCTTGAAGAAGATTTATGCTGTCCTAATCTAACTGGCTTTGATAGTTAACATGAGGATACTAGTATTTGATGAATATTTTAATTCAATAAATAACTATCTCATGGATTAGTTTGATTACATAAATAATGGTTTAATTATTTTGTTGGATAAATCCCAAAGTTATTAGGTAGATAACGTTAACACACGAACAATTTGTGAGGAAAACCAATGGCTTGATCGAAAATTATCAGTCATTTGAAGGAGAACTATAATTCAAGATAAATATGATAGACCAAGTTTATCTTTAACAATATTATGTATTGGTCATCGGCAATCTAATTAAGGAAAGCAAAGAAAGAGTAATTAATCTATCCAATCTATAGGTCATTTACAACTGATCGATTATTGATTGTTAATTTCACATTCTAATGAGCAGCTTTAGTTGTTCTATTATTCGTGATGCGGGATTAATTTTCTTCACATCTATAACGTAAAATGATTAATTACATGTTTTGTTTTCCTTAATGTCATATAGATTACTCGAGATATTGCTCAGTCTTAACACAACCACAAATATTCTGTTATTAAGCTAAGAAAGGAGATTTATGCCGTCAAGAATATCTCATGACAATTAAGGGCAGTTTTCAGAATCATATTCACTTTCATCAGGGAAAAAAAACTTCGAGATGTATCGATTAATCAATGTAAAGGTCAACTATGTAAAATATATCATACAAAAACTGCTGTTACTAAACTAATATTCGTTTTGTACTCTATTCAGTAAATAGCATATTTCTGCAAAATTATTTCATTTTTGAAGGAAAAAACTTGATTGTATGTCAATCATAAGTGACCTCTTATCAGTTAAAGTAAGTTAGTTTTATTTAGGTTGGAGTTTACAAATGACGTCACAGCAACTGTGTTTTGAAAGGTAAACAATAATAATATCTAAAAGTAACTGTGAAAAGATTGGTAATTCACAATGTTGGAAGATTATGTATGCGTATATTTGAGAATTTAAATTCGATAATACAAGTGGAGTTGTCAATCACAGATATTTTGTTTCACAGTGCTCTTATTTCTATTAAATTACTTAAATAGATAAAACAGTTCTCAGATAAATGTAAGTTTATAAACCTAAACAATTATCGGTCATAATTTATAATACCAAGGGAGAAGCTATCAACTAATATTTTTGATTAAAATATATTAATGAAATTAAGTGATGGTCTCAATTGATTGTTCACTGGGTGGCGATCAATTTCATGTGTGTCAAGTTCTTCTTAGTGCAGATCGAATGCTATCGACAAAGTTGTAATATGGCCACTAGTCTAGGTGAATCAACATTGCGTGCACTATGTTGAGATTAGATGGTGGTTGGAGGTAATCAACAGGAAACCCGGGTTTCGTGCTACTTGGCACTCGTCAGCAAGGTGTAACTGCTATCTTGCAACTTGGTCGATAGCATTCCATCTGCACTAAGGAGGACTTGACACACATGACATTGATCACCACCCAGTGATCAGTTTATTGTGAGAACATCCCAGGCCTACAGGAGATCGGTCGCGGTCTGGATAGCTCAGCGGTAACTTCTCTGACTGTGAAGCTGGGTGATACGTGGTCGGATCCGTCAGGGAGCACCAGTTCCCTCAAGATTACAGGTACATCTTGCTGATGGGTATTTATAGATGTTAACGTTTGTTAAATCAACACCATATTTCGGCCAATCCGTTAATGACGTATTATACTACTGACCAACAGTAGCACGCCATGTTGAAATTCTAGAATGCTCCATCATGCTCTGATTGGCTAGGACTCCGGCTCTTGTTGGGCCTCTGCAGGCTCCGTTGAAGTTCTCCGAAAGCCAACTCAACAATAGATATAAATTACTGACTTAAATTCGTAAGATAAATATTTTTATCTTTTTTTTAGCTATAGAGAAAAGATATTTCTAAAACTTTAATTTTGAACTATAAAGGTTGTTCATGTTGCTATGCAGAGAAATATTGAGATGGTGGAGAAGATTTGTAGCTCAGGTGGGCGGTTTTGATTTTTTGTTCTCTCAGCTGGATGGTTTGGCTGTGGAGCTTTTATCGTTCTTCTGAACGATAGAAGTCTATTTATCTGAAGTTTGTGCTGATGATGTCGTTCAGAAGAACAATGAAAGATCCACGACCAAACCATCCAGGTGAGAGAACAAAACTCCAGCAGAGAAATATGCTTATCATAATTTTATATAGTAGCTAATAATGAACGTTATTAGTAACTACTTTCTAATAAAAGAATAAATTTATCTATATTGACATATAAATTTTTGAAGAGATAGACATAATTTATTATGACAATAATTCATAGTTTGATATTTTCTCTAAAATTTTAGATAAACATTTTGATTCTTTTATTTTGTATTTAAATATCATTATACTAGTATCCGTTTTTTAGTATACGACGAATACAAGAGAAGTTGTGTTCTGATCTTTTATTATGATAAATTCTTTGGTAACAGTATAACGTAGGGGTGATCTTGAATAGAAAATAAAAAGAAAACGCCACAAACTTTTAACTAGTTAATCAATCAGGAAATAATTTTGATCAGTGAATAGATTATGAAAAATAATCAAAAATATTTCAAAGGGTAAATAGATTTTATATAATTAATGAATGTACTCGAGTGTTCTAAAAGTTATTCTGTCAATAAAATAGAAAAAAAAAGCAACATAAATTCGCCCACAAATATAAAAAATATCTTATCCTGATCACAAAACGATCTAGGTAGACAACTGTTGAAAAAGTGGAAGCAGTGGATGACAGTATCGGAAATTGATTAAAATCAGACTTGAATACCATCGAATGCTACCTCAGTGGTTTGAAGGGTAAGAGTTCGTGCGTGAGATCGAAGGACTTAGGTCCAAGTCCCAACTGTGTGGTTGTGGATGCACACTGTTTGGTAGCTCCATAATGAAACGAAACAGCTGTTCAGTGCTTCCAAGTTTCTAATACTGTTCTAATTGAGATCAGTTTGTCTCCCAACGAAATTCAATACTAAAAATCCTTA